TTAACAGTGTAAGAGGGCGATCGGTGGTCTTCAAGAAGGAGGCAAGTGCGGGTGGTCAGGGTCTGATAAGGGGAGACGACATACGTACCTGGTACATGAGAGAGGTCGGCTATGGTGTTGGCGTCATGTACATTGGTCTTCAAGAGTCGAAGTGAGCTTGTTGCGTGATTGTTGATGGATGTAGGATACACAAGTAGTGTAGACTGGGCGCTATCCACCAGACAGAGAGGAGCAACACTGGATATTGTGTTGGTGTGGCATGAGGGCTTGAACAACTCCTCATGACTCCATTGTATTGCTCTTATTAGGATGGAATCTCGGTGCATTCGTGCTCTTTGCTTGTACAGGACTACTTAAACATCTGTGTGATTTCGCAACTTGGCTTTCTCTATATCATTCTCACTCACATTCCTTGCAATTTGGTATCGGAGCGACATTCGAGATCACCATTTACCTGGCGTTGCCGACATTGTTACTTGGTGCGCTGACGATGCTTCTGTGTAGTAAGGATACTTTGGCGCTGCTTGTTGAGCGAGACACAGGTAGAGGGGTTGTTGCTTGAAGGTTGCGGTGACAGCGGATGTATGTATGATGATGAGAGCATGCTGACGTGGCTTTATCGACGATGACAGACCCGTATCTACCTCAATCCAAACCACTACTAAGCGGTACTTCAACAGCAGCCTTATCTCAAATTGTTCCCTCTTCATCTTTTGGTCCAACGGCTGCTGCTACCTCAACCGCCGCCTGTCTCACCAGTGGGACAACAGTAACCATAGAACCCCAAAACCCCATTGAAACCACCCTCTACCTTCTTAGGTGATAAGGCGGAGGCTCTCGACGCATGGCGAAGAACGGTTCTAGTGTGGGTAAGGGCGAAGAGGACGCTGCTAGAGGAAGAAGTGATAACTATTGCATCCTACCTAGAGGGCTTAGCAGCTCGCTGCCTAAATAAATTAGTGGTTTCGAAAGAATTCGGTAGGAGCATGGGTGACTGGGCTAAGACCCATACCCTAGAGAGCTTTATGGACTTAGTGGAAGCGCGATGACACAGCTCACAACACACACAAATTTCCACTAGTGGGTTGCTGAAACTTAATGCTAAAAAGTACAAGTTTGTGCTTGAACTCACCTCTACCGTAGAGCGTTTGATTGTCGTCTCTGACATACAATATAATCCACAAGTCTTGTTGACCACGTTTTTGAGGTGTCTTCCCACACAAATCATTAACTTCCTAGCAAGTGAGGCCCGACTAAAGCAATACACGTTTGAGACCTTCAACAAAAAGGCCTTAGATTTAGAGGCTACGCTATGAGGTTCCCAGACACCCTCTACAGACGGAAGAAAGAAGAAGAGTCCACAAGAATAAAAAAAGAAGGGGATTCGATTGATGATGGTCGAGGGCGATGGTATTCAGACCGAGATCAAGAACTTCTTCGACCTTGTGGATGGTACAGAGTTAGACAACTAAGATAATGTTGAGGTTAACAACCACGGTGTGGTAGTAAAGGGGAAGGCAGGTGGCAGCGGCAAGGGAGGTCAACAAAGGAATCAGGGGCAAACCCAAAACCCGAACACAATTGCGCTTGGGTTCAAGTGGGTTTGGATCAAAAAGATATGGCGGGACCGTTATTCGCGGGGTGCTTGCATTAACTACAGGGAGAATGCCCATCAACAGTTTAAATGCAAGAACGCGAAGGTCTCGCAAAAGATACCACCTAAGGGTGAGATTTCTTTTTTCCAAGGCGGGGCCTCAACGACATCTATCTCGGGAAGCACCTAGGGCCAATAAAAGTTGTAGCTGCTTCTATGTAACCTCCCCGTTTCAAGAGTTGGCCGAAGCTATTCACTCCTTAGTCACGCCACAGACGCATTCTAACCCAACAATACTCTGCTCGTTGGATGTGTCTGAGGCTTTAGATGACCTACAAAGTGAGTGGTCGTCAAGGGACCCTCGTGAATCCTGGGTGGCACTAAGTCGAGGTCCTAGAGGGGATAACGTCGTTGTGGAAGTTGGTGTAGGTGGCCGCAAGTGTGGTGCCTTCGTAGACATCAGCTCCACACGAAACTTTGTGAGTCGTGACTGCGTTGATAGATTGCGTCTACACGACCGGGTGCAGCGCCTTCGTAGTCCGGTGGCATTTACTTTGGCCAACAAAGAGCGCATGTTGGTGGAAAACTACGTCAAGGATGTGGTCTGCACTTTCTCCTATGCAAGAGGGGAACTTAATCATAAGATTCTGTTCCTGGTTAGCAACGACCTACCATTTGACATGACGTTACGTATTTGAGGTTGCCAAGCCTCAATTTGACTGGGACAAGAAAGTGCTAAAGCATGAGTTGTCTAATGGGAGGGCCGTTAGACAAGCTAAGTATAACGCTAGTAGTTTAATCCACTCCTACGGGTGTTTGTGCGCATCAATCTTTTACAATTATTATATATAGAACCAAGAGGAAGGTATGTCACTGGCTTTTGTCTCTATAAAAGCGGAAGCCGTTAAATCACCCCAGACATAGAGAGTAAGGTATGTCACTGACTTTTGTCTCTGCGAAAGAAGAGGCCTTTAAATCACCCCCAAACATAGAGAATGTCGTCGCTAAGTACAATAATCTGTTCGAGAAGTCCACAAGTGTCGTGGACAAGGAGGTTGTCCATGCCATAAAGATCAAAGGGAGAATCTATAGGATGGCTCCGACCGAGTTGGACGAGCTCCGTCAGCAACTGAAAGAGCTCGCAGGAAAGGGTTGGATACCGCCTATCATCTCCCCCATCGCCTCACCAGTTCTATTCGTCCCGAAGAAGGGGGTATTACTAAGGATGTGCATTGATTACAGGGGCCTCAATGCCATCACTGTTAAGAACGCAGAGCCCCAACCGCGCATCGATAACCCATTGGATACAGTGCACGGATGTAAATACTTCACAAAGATAGACCTGAAGTCCGACTACCATCAACTTGTTATTAAACTGAATGACCAGCACAAAACCACATTCCAAACGCGGTACAATCAGTACGAGTTTGTGGTGATGCCCTTCGGCCTTTGCAATGCACCATGTATATTTCAGCACGCCATGAATAGGATATTCCATGATTACTCGAATCAGTGATCATCGTGTACCTAAACGAGATAACATTTTTTTCTTCAGGACTGTTGAGGAGCATGCTCACGTAGATAAAGTGTTTTTTCTCCTTCGGCAGCACAAGTATAAGATAAATTTAGAGAAATGCGAGTTTGGTCGCAATGAAATCTTGTACATGGGTCATGAAGTATCCGAGGAAGGAATTAGGCCTGAAGATGCGAAGGTGGCCAGCATTAGAGACTGGCCACGACCCTAGTGTGTGACCGAGGTCAAATCATTCTTCGGAATGTGTGGTTATTATCGCAATTTTGAACAAACTATAGTACGACTTCATTTCCCTTGACTGATCTGACGCGCCTTGACACTCCATGGGAATGGACAGACCCATGTGCGGCTGCTTTTAAAAGATTGAAACACGCCCTTACATATCATGAGGTTCTCATGGTCCCCGATCCTCAAAGGCCATTTGTAGTGACCACTTACACAAGCCAGTACGACATTAACGCAGTGCTGGCTCAACAAAAAGGGAAGAAGTTAAAACCGATCGAGTACATGAGTAAAAAAATGTCAACCAAGAAAATGGCGGAGTCCACCTACAGAAGGGAACTCCACGCCCTCTAAAGGGCACTTATCCATTGTAGGCACTATCTATTCGAAAGGTTCTTCTACTTGAGGACCGACTATTGGACACTCGAGTGGATCAAGACACAACCGGTTCTCTTCGGTGCACTCAGACGCTGGATCGAAGTCCTAGATCAATATGACTTCAAGTTAGACTATGTGAAAGGGGAGTATAACGGGGTTGCTGATGCGCTGTCACATGGGGCAAACTACTTGGGCGCGCTGATAACGGAGTTTGACTTATCTGAGGATGTATCTGGATCCTTGGTGGAAGCCCACAAGGAAGACCCTATCACGATGGACATCATCCGCAAACTCGAGGCCCAATACAAGGTCACATCTGACGAGTTTGTGATTCTAGGCAGGCTGCTCTTTTATTGAGAATGCGGGGTTTAAAATACTGGTGGATCCATCTAGAGAAGATTTGCATAGTTTATTTTTAGGTGAACAAGTGGACCCGGCGCAGCCACACTTTGGCCGAGAAGCGGGAATTTTTTTTTTTTTTGTCGCCATATTCGCTATACACTATAAAAAAGCATGAATATGTCAAACTAATTCCGACTGATCAGGAGGTTGTGTGTGTGTATGTGTGTGTGTGAGAGAGAGAGAGAGAGAAAGAGAGAGAGAGAAAGAAAGAGAGAGTCTCTCTCTCTCTCATCCTATCGATGGAAGTAGCCTCTCTATCTGTCTGTGTATGGCTGGAAAACTCTCTCTCTCTAGCCTCTCCCTGTTTGTCTGTGTATAACTGGAAAACTCTCTCTCTCTCTCTCTCTCTCTCTCTCTCTCTCTCTCTCTCT